TTAATCATTCCATGTACTTACAACATTTTGTTGTATTTTATGTCAAATTGGATGCTCATGCCAGCATAAAAATAGCATAATTTTGACCAAATTTTCACATCATTTCTGAATTAGATAGAGAATCCTAAGTGCTTTAACAATAGAGTTGAAATGTAATGGCTGAAAAAAAGATGTTTGTTTCTTTCTGTGCAGTCATCTAGGGCAAGTCTTCCTGAGTACAGGAGCCATTGGAAAAGAAGATTCTCGAGCCTCATTCTAGATCTTCTGAATCAGAAACTTTGGTACTAAAGGCCAGCAGTCTGTGTTTAAACAAGCCTTCCAGGTGCTTCTGGTGCACCCTAAAGTTTGAAGTCTATGGGACAGTTTTCCAATCCAGGGAGATGCGTGTCATCCAAGACCCAAGCTGACTGCATCTCTGCCATCCTCAGCGTGCCCCGTGAAAGGGGGAAGAGCACAGAGCAGGTATGTGGGGAGTTTCATAAGATGATTACAGCGCTTCTCAGGTTCCTGTGTAGGGAATTTCAGCACGTGGTCACAGCCAACTGCAGGGAAGTCTGAAAAATGTAATACAACTGAATCATAATATGCCCCATTTTACAAATGAAGGGAGAAGGGGTTTTGGTGGACAGCTGCTAGTCTCTGCAACAATCACATAATTATCTTTGGACAGTCGGGTTCACTGGTGATGTGTTTTATCTCAGTCTCCCTCTCTCTCTCTCTCTCTCTCCCTCTCTCTTTTTCTCTCTCTCTCCATTCCTATGATGTTGCTTTTAGTCATGTACTTTAATTTCTGACATTGTGCAGAGTATTACAACATGGGAGCTGAGATAGGAAGGTAATCCAAGAAAGAACAAACAGCTACCAGTGTCAGATACGACTGAGAAATCAGTGAAATGAGCACTAAAATTTTCCCCTAGATTTAGGAAAATGGAGGCCACTTTGTTAGGAAGGATTGTTCCATAAAATAATGGTATACGTGAGATCTGTTGGCACAGAGTGTGTCAGTGAGTGCATGGGAGGTGAGGGAATGAAGACAGCAAAACCTGAGAAAGATTGTGGCGTGGCGAAGAGGTAAGGCCCTGAGACAAGGATCATACGGGGTGAAGGCTGAGGCTTGGTCGCCTGCTGCGGAGAGAGGCCTAGCCCAGAAGCTGCGGTTGGCTGTCCCGGAGAAAGAGCTGGGTAGCGTTCCTGAGGAAGTACTGTGGGGTCCAAACACACAGGCTGGAGGAGCGACACGGGTAGGAAAGGAGAAAACCGCCTCTAAGAAAACACTAAAGAAACAGAAAACCCAGCAGAATTGAAGCAATCATTAGGAAAATCGAGAGAGGGTGTTTCTAGAGCAAGGCGGATGGGTGCTGAGCAGCACTGAAGACCTATTTGAAGTCACTTTGCATAAATCTATATAAAATCATTGCAATAGCATGTTAATGTTGCTTTGGGCTGCTATATTAATTTGGATGCTGATAAACCCTAAAAATTACATTTATTAGTGTTTCTCTGTTCATTTTTTTAACTTGACTGGCTGAGAGTAGGGAAGGTCTGAGATTTTATGTTTGCCTCACCCTGCTTAATTAATTTATGTTAGAAATTCCTTAATTAGTAGATTTATAACAAATATAGAACTTTGTGAAATTCCCCCCTAACTCTCTCAAGGCTTCAAAAAGAACATTCATATGCGAGGTTTAAAAAAGTTGACATCATTTGTCTGTATTTTATTGGAATTTTAGGAAATTCTGAAATGAAACTCTTGAACAAATGCCTCATGTTTATGAAAAAAAAAAAAAAGTAGTTAAGAAAATTGAGTGCATAATTTAACATCCAGTTTATGTGCCAAGCAGTGAAAAAAATAGGCATTTCTCCATCATTAAATGTTATTTTTTAATAAGATCTCTAGGGGCCTTACATTGTGAGGTGACCTGGTATTTGTCCGATGCTGTGCTTTCACCCTTGTAGTCTCGCTGCTTTGCAATGAGTGTTGTACCCACCTTGCTAAAGCCAGTCAAGTTGTTCTGAAAAGTCACCTTCCCTTACCAAGTGCTCACACCCACACTACTATGCACCACCCTAAAGACCTCATGTACCAGAGAACTAGGGATAACCCCTATGCTAATTATTCAAATTAACCAATCCTCAGAGAGCCTGCAAAACCTAACTGACCCACCCTGCTCACCATAGCTACCTTACATAGCTGCCCTCTATAGCTAAGCTAGTTAGCTGCCTCCTATAGCTAAGCTAGTTTGCTCTTACCCACCCATTCCTGGGTGCACTTTCCTGTGTGGCCCTGCCTAGCCCACATCTCTCCTTCGTAGCTGTAAGCAATAGACAATTCAGCCTTTCATCTTCATGAAAGTCAGAGTGTTGCATTCTACCATCAAAAGAATTCTTCAAGTCTTATAGAACAATTGGCGCTGTGGCTATAACCACTGAATCTTGGATAACTTCTTGGGAGACTGCTCTTGGCCTTACTAATTGGTTCCAGACCCCTGCAAGGGTGATTTGAGATGGAATTTGAGCTGGTGCTTTAGTCTTGCAGCCTGCTGTTGTGTCTGCTGGTGGTTGCCATGTTTCTCAGAATATTCTAAACAGTGCAAAGTGGCCCAAATTGGAAGGCTGGATACGAGGCCAGGTGGGAGTCCCCTTCACACCCATAGGAATGATGGGTCACGTGAGCTGTGCTCTCAGAGCCAAGGGTTGTGGTTTGCTTCCAGTCACATCTGTGCTTAGCAGAAGCCTGTTCCAGGGCCTGTTACTCTTGCATGTGAGACTCCTGTGCAGCAAGATGTTGTTTGGGCTGCCTGGTGGGGTAGCAGCTACCTGTCTTTGCTGCACGCCTTGTTGTTGTTGCCCAGGAACTTCATGCTCCCTAGGCCCTCAGGAATTTCATGGGCTGTACCCTTGGAGCTCAACCACCTAATGTATAATCCAAAAGGAGACCACCTTACTCAATTAATTAAATAATGCTAGATCCCTAGCCAGTGTGCTTGGGCCTTAGTAAGTACCTCAATATAACATGTGAAGAGACTGATACTTCTGACAGTGGGCTTACTGCACTGTCCCAAGGAGAGTCTGCTATAGCTCTCAAGTGCAAACCCCAGTCCTTTAGAGGTGGACTGGAATCCTTTAGAGCTGGCTGCCTATGAGGCAGGCTACTGGGCCCCTTTGCCCTCCTCCCCTATAACCACCTAGAAGATTTGTACTAAGTTACAGACACAGAAACTAAAATCCAGCTTTAGGTGGCTAAAGCCCAAAACAGGTGAGGGGTAATGGAATGAAAGGGAAAAAAAAAATCTAGATATGGGGTAGAAAATTTAAAATAAATGATATATTATATATAAATTCCATCAAAGGTTTATAATTTAACCTAATTGGAAATCTAAAATGTACTAAAATAATTTTTATAACAAAAAGATTGAAAGGGTGCTCATTGCCTTTTGTGTCTCTACCTCATAGGTTCTAAATAAACTTTAACATCTGCTAAAATGCACCAATTGACAAAGCTTCATGGAATTAATTATACTGTGTTGTAAATTACATGTATACCATTGGATCTCACTAAATTTAAACATGGCACCCCTATAACTTTAGGATAGTAACTAAATAGAAAATAGAGAAAAAATAGGTATTCCTCACTTTAACTATAGCCTTTCCTAAATTTTTTGCATCATAATATCCATTGCCCTAAAATATTCCATATTGGACATATACAATCTGAAACAAAGAGTAATAAATTGGAATTAAATGAAGTCTTTGGCACTTACAGATTGTCTTGATAAAATGAGATCCCATGGATCTTCCAGTTAAAATAGTTAAGATGACCCAATGTAAACTAAAACAGAGCCTTCAAGAATCCAAACATATTATATAAGACCTAATTAATAAAAGTGTAACCATGTCCACCTCTCCTCCATTTAATCGTCAAATTTTGTCTGTTCTCAAATCTTTAAAAAAAGAAAGAAAGGAAAATGAAAAAGAATACCACTTCACAGTGGATTACTGCCACTTTGGTCTCACCCATTAAGGTCCCTATGCCCAATACCCAACACTTATTATTAAAATTACCAACCTCATCCAATCAACAACCAGGAATTATTTTGTCAGTAGCAATTTGGCTAATATGTTCTCTTTAGTGCCAATTCAACAGCCTCTCAGTGGCAGTTTGCCTTCACCTCCAAGGAAAGCACTACAGCCTTTCCAGAGAACACCAACAGCTTTGCCATTCCACATGGTCTTCCCAGACAAGACCTTAACTGAATCCAACTCTCTCCATCAACACGGATATGACATTACAGTGATGACATCTTCCTCCAAGGAGTTTTGTTTAACACACATTTAAAGGGATAAAAGTCTAACTTCATTCTCTTCTCACTCAGGACGCAATGTATTTCTCATTGACAGATTCAACTTAACCTCCCCGTTGCTGCTACATAAAAAAGCCCACTTTAAATGAAGTCCCCTCCAACAAAAGGCTCTAAGATCATCCAAATTAAAATTGACAGGCCCCACAGAAGACTACTCCAGAAACTGTACCTGGATGATGCATGAGGTTAGTCCAGAATGGTTTGCAATGGCAGAGCCTTGGTTACCTACAATTGGTCACCACAAATGGCCCTTACCAGACTGTAGCACCAATGACAACAAGGCCTGGGAGGCAGATATGCCCTGTGCAAGCACATGGAGGATAGATCATTTGTTTGTGATGGAGGAGAGTGTGGCAAAGCCTTTTTTATCAGAGATTACTACCTGAGAAACCACATCCTGATCCACACTAGAGAAAAACTATTTAATTGTGCAGCTAGTGGCTGTGATAAAAAAAAATTCAACACAAAGCCCTGGTCCGTGTGGCTCAGTTGGTTGGGCATTGTCCTGTGCACCAAAAGGTTGCTGGTTTGATTCCCAGTCAGGGCACATGCCCAGGTTGTGGGCTTAATACCAGTAGGGAGTGATAAATATTTTGCTCTCACATCATTATTTCTCCCCCTCCCTTCTTCTCTCTCTAGGAATCAATAAAATTTTTTCTAAAAAATTCAACACACAACCAAACTTACAGAAACATTTTGAATAAAATCATGATACTGAACACAATATGGATGCAATTTTGAAGGCTGTAAGAAGACCTGTGAGAAACATCAGCAGCTGAAAGTCCATCCGTATCAGCAGAAAAATGAATTCAAACGAAACCATAAAGGATGCGGAAAACACTGCTTCACCCAGCAGTCTGAAAGGATATGAGAAGGCCCATGAGGGCTGTGTATGTCAAAAGAGATATTCCCTTGTGACAAAAACATGTGAGAGAAACCCGTAAAAAGGAAATATGTGAAGTATGCTGGGAAGCGTTCAAAGGCAAAGATGAAAGTAAGCAATACATGAAAATTCTTAAAGAGATGTGTGTCAATGTGCAAGAGGAGCCTGGCAAGCTGCACAACTTGCTTACTTTCCAGAGCCGTATTCTCTATTTTCAGGAGAAAAAAACACCCATGTGTATGTAAACATACTGGCTGCGGCAAAGGTTGGCAATGAACAGTGTTGCAAGTCATGTGGTTGTGCACTATCCTCACAGGCAGATGAGAACCAAAGTAAGGCCATCTCATGAAGAACAGAGTTTGATGTCTCATCTCAGCAGATACATTCCTTCTAAAAAGAAATACCAGCTTCTCTTTGCCAAAAAACAGTCACTGAATTGTATTCATCTTAACAGTTGCAATATCTACTCCCCCCGAGTGTCAGGTTGTATGTTTAAAAGACTACAAAATGACAAGCTCAGTTATTATCTCTCAGAAGCACATTTCTCTTTATTAAAATCACTGATTTAAGAAGAAAAAATTGATAGGCATTCCTCTTAGTGTCTGCAGAGACTCACTCCTGCACTGTAGAGGCTTTATATCTTCTTTCCATGCCTCTGGGAGTCTCTGGACAACTCTGACAGCCATAAGTTGCCCTTGGGTTTCTGGTGTTAGAAACTGACCTTGGCTCTGTGCTTTACACCATCAGAGCAACAATTAATAGCCAAATATGGGCCTTGCTTAGGATTAGTGGCTCTCACAAGTCCCTGGGCCTGTGGCCCTCTATACTTCGTTACTCACTTAGCCTTGGGTCATAAATGCAGCACCCCCAAGCTCAGCGCCTCTCCTGAGACCTTTCTGATATAAGATGGAGCCAAACCTGGACCATCTGGCATGTTTCACCCAGAGGATGAGGTGGCCTCTCTTGCCCTTAATCCCTTGTCAGATGCCAAATGCTGGTTAAGTTTGCCCTTCTCCCAGGCACCTTAATTATCTGGAGAGTCCCTTGGGATCAACTGAATGAACAGCAGTGGAAAATGGTAGACTATGTGAGTGGCGTTGCCACCACCGTAACTGATGAAGCTCAGTGAAATGGTGCTGCTTTCTTTCTCCTAATTGGTTTGTCCTTATAAAAGACAGGGCCCAAGAGTCAGGAGATATGCCAAACTTCAGTTTAGCACTGGAAGCCTCAGTCTGCAACTTACCCCATCTATACATATTTTTACAAATTCTTGAGTCATTGCCTAAGAGTTGTCCCTTCTATTTAAGGTAAAAAAATTCTATGAATCTCTTATCTCACAGATACTCAAAATATAAATTAAGGTCACACTTATCTCTACTTATACTAAGGTCATCATATAAGGCCTGCTCAGGACACTTCTTATCCCCTTTGAAGTTCCAGACCTTAGTAACAGTAACCAAGACACATATTTCACTTAGAATACACAGTCCTGGCCTCTTGGAAAAAACACCCAATAAGGGCATTAAGGTTGCCTCAAAATGAAGCTGCACAATCTGTCAGAGAGCTGTGCCTCACAGATTGGAAGAGGGAGTAATTCCTTTTTTTTTTTTTTTTAATTTACATAATTTTGTATTAGTTTCAGTTGTACAGCATAGTGGTTAGACAATCATATACATTGCAAAGTGTTTCCCCCAATATTTGAAGTACCCACCCGGCACCTTACATAGTTATTACAATATTATTGACTATATTCCCTATGCTGTACTTTACATCCCCATGACTATTTTGTAACTTCCAATTTATACTTCTTAATCGCTCCACCTTTTTCACCCAGCCCTCCACCACCCTTCCCCTCTGGCAGCCATCAGTCTGATTTCTGTATCTATGAGTCTGTTTCTATCTTGCTTGTTTCTTTATTTTGATCTTTAGATTCCATGTGTAAGTGAAATCATATGGTATTTGTCTTTCTCTGTCTGACTTGTTTCATTTAGCATAATACCCTCTAGGTCCATCCATGCTGTTGCAATGGTAAGATTTCATTTTTTTTATGGCTGAGTAATAATCCATTGTATATGTGACCACATCTTTTTTATCTGCTAGTCTATTGTTGGATATTTTGGTTGCTTCCATAGCTTGGTTATTGTAAACAAAGCTGCAATGAACATAGGGGTGCATGCATTCTTTCTAATTAGTGTTTTTGGTTTGTTCGGATATATACTGAGGAGTGGGGGTCACTGGGTCAAAAGTCAGTTGCATTTTTAATATTTTGAGGAACCTCCAAACTTTTTTTCACAGTGGCTGCACCAACTGCATTCTCACCAACAGTGCACGAGGGTTCCCTTTTCAAAGAGGGTGTGATTTTCTTCCCGATTTCAGCATGGGATGGATACCTTCCTGATCAATATCCATGGTTCATTATGGATTATCATTTTAAAAATAAATCCTGTAATTTTTGTGTAAAAATCTCAATTATATTCTTTAATAGTTTTGTGTTAAAAGAGTTTATTTATAAAATACATTTTTTTCTACTGTCACTTTTGGTTTTGGTTTATTTATGTGACACTTGTTGGGACCACTACCACCAAAAAAAGGACATCAAATTAAAAACCACTTTAGGTTGATTTGCTATCATTTGTTGTATTTGCTAGTGGCTAAGAGCACAGATTCTAAAACCAGATTCATTCTCTCTAGATAATGACACCTCAGCAAGTTACTTAACCTTGTTCTGCCTCATTACAAAATACATTTTAAATATCCAAAAAAAATAACTCCTTTTTTTGCACATATCATTTTTATTTTAAATATTCTGGTGACCTAAAAATGGGAATGCACTCCATCTCTGAGAGGCTCAGCCAAGGTTGCTGTCATTGTTTGTTGTGATGGCACCTGCCGAGCATGGTGGTAAGAGGTAACTAAACCACCAAGTGTAGCACCAGAAGTTTCAGTAAAATCCTTTGGCATGAGAGGTGATAACTGGAGGTGTTTTGCCAAGGCTGTGAGGGATAGAATCCAGAATTCAGGACTTTCACTGCCATATCACTCTTGGAGTCCAAAAAAAATTTAAAAAGGATTTAACAAAATAATTAATCTGAGCTCAGGATTTGAGGAGCTTTTGTATTGGCAAAGGCACTTGCGAGCAGAATTTTCCTTAGCAACCGGTTAATCATGATCTCCTGGCAATGTTCACCAATACCCCCATCATCCATTCAGACACTTGTGTTTTTACCTACATTTCACAGGTACACGTCCACCAGTTACTCTACAGTTTTGAGTGCTCTGCCTAAGGAAAGCCTATTTACCTGTAACATATTCAATAGTATATTTCACAGCATTCTGAAATGTAAAATTCACCAGGAATCAGCTCTGATATTTTTCTCATTGCTGCACTGATTACAATGAAGTGCATTGATGTCAGTATCACTATGACAACATTATGACAAGAACTAGTCACTCCAAGCTACCTAGTGTAAGGAATTGTCATTTATATTTCTGAATAAAATAAAACACATATTAGGACCTCTGCTTTCTTACATAAAATAGTGCATTAATGCTTAGGGTTGAGTCACCACTGGATGAAGAAACAATTCACCTTAATGTTACTCTAAAGGTAAGATTTGAATATTTGAAGAATGTTTACTTTAACTTTTCAGTCAGTTAGAAAGGAAGCGATTGTTTTATTATAACATAAGGAATGATTTGATGTAATAAGTGAACTCTTTACCTTTTTGTTTATATTTTGCATTAAAATAGCACAATATGGTGATATCAACAAATAGTCTAAATTGATGAACGTTGGGATCTATTGGAAGGTTTTAACGTGAAGCAATATTTGAATGTCTTTGAACTTTTAAGATATTGCATAATTTTTACATTTCAGCTTGTTGTGATAGAAGTGAGTCACCTCCTGTACTGTTCCATTTTTAATTAAGCAAGAATTCAACATCATTTTTTTCTTTGTTAACTTTAAAAATAGCTTGACTCTCACGTGTTCTGTGTCCCCCTGCCCCCAGGGATGCTCTATAGAAAATAAATGAAGGCACGCTAGAAACTTAGAGAGAAAATATTTGACATCGCAAATTCACCTAGAGATGCACTACTGCCAATATTTTTGGATCGTTTATGCGCAATCTTGTACTTGTTTTAGTTCTTACAGTAGACTGTCAGCATTCTGACATTTTCTGTTTAGAGAACTATATCACCACATGATATGACATGGAACAGTTGACAAATGGCAATTTTCCCGGTAATGTTTGCCTTTTTTATTTCATCTGAGCCAAATCTGAAACTCTGTAGAGGCATTTCTTCCTTATAAGACTTGGTTGACTTAAAAAAGAAAACAAAGGTATGACCTGTCTTGATTAAAAGCCCACTTTTCATTTTGAGCAATTCAGAGAGTATGACCCTTATACACAATATATGGGATGTAATTAGAGTGATATACACTGTGTTTCCTTATAACATCTTAATTACAAGATTCTTGGTGAACATGATTGAAAGGCTATACACACACACACACACACACACACACACATATATATAGTAATGCATCATTTGGTGCTAGAGACACTGAAAGGAAAGGAGAAATAGTCTTGCTGAAGGTTGGCTATTCCTAGTTTATAATCTAATGAAACTCAAGTATTTTTTTTTGTCACTCAACTACTTACGTAAAACAATTGGCAAAAATAATTCCAAAAAAAACGAACATGGATAATATTTATCTATAAGGAGCCTGAGGTCTCCCTGAGAAGTGACACAATTAACTTAACATTCAATCTATATTTTGTTGTATCGCTCTCTGTATTAGATCTCAGATGTACACTTTCTGATCATGCCGCTTGTTTTCTAAATTATACAGACTATAGCTGCATTATATACCATCGAAACAAAAAAATACATTTCATTTCAATTGAAGACATTTTGAACAGGCCTCAATAACATTTTAAACAAAAATTAAATATAGATAAGCATAGATATAAAGAGAACTGTCATCAGAGTCTATTGACTATGTGGAAACTTCAAAGAAAGGATTTCAGACTTCTATTTTTAGTGAAAAATTCAGGATTGATTGCCTTAAGACTTTTGTTTGCATGAGGCATAATTCCCTTACAAACTGTCATTTCTATTTTAAAGTAAGCCTTTAGCAGAGCATATTACATATCACTAAAAAAATCTGCATGACACCATCTATCTAATCTATGTTATCATCT